GTGAATGACGCCTAAAGAAATCCCAGTTAGCCTTCCCTAGTCTCCATTTGCCTTGACACATGACTTCCTCCTTCACAACATTGCGTGACAGCGTGATTTCAATGACAACATGGTCACTTCCAAGGGTCTCACTGGTTGCTTCCCACGTACAGTCTTTAGCTAACCGACTGCTTACTAATGTGAGATCGAGATGCGAACCAAGAGGAGCAATTGCACCAACATAAGTAATGCTACCATCATTTATGCTAACCAGGTCATTGGCCTCAATGAACTCAGCAACTTGTCTACCATTAGTGTCAGTTGTTGGCGAGCCCCACAATACGTGTTTGGCGTTAAAATCACCAAGCACAATATTGTCGGTCCCGGGCAACTGATCGTAAACATACTGATATTCACTGAATCGTTGAGGTTTGCCTTTGACTTCGGGTCGATAAATATTAACGATAGAAAAAACCTTTGACTTGTCGGTAAAGGATACCTACCGCCTGTGCCTCCAGAGGAGCGATGGTTTTCAGAGGAACCTCACTATGGGATATACCATTTTTGATGTAGATGGCCAGACCCCCACCACTTCGATGGTTGAGAGCATTAGGTCTGTTTAATCTGATCAAAGTATAACCATTGATGATAGGGTCTTTATTCCTTGAACCGAGCTTGGACTGTTGGAGAAAAACGGCATCATACTGCTTCCTTTGTAGTAGCTGTACCAGTTGGGTCTTTCGTTCAGGTACGTTCAAACCATTGATGTTCAGCTGTATGAACCTGAAATTGAATGTAAAATAATTAATGACTTTTTGGTTCAGTATGGTTTTAGCATGGGGTTTGGGGTGCCGTAAAAACCACTCCGACAATTCACACACCGTACCTTCTTGGATTTACACAGCTTGGTGCTGTGCCCCTCTCCACACTTTTCGCAGCAAACTTTGCTGCGGCAGAACTTCTCTAGGTGACCCAACTTCTGGCACTTCTGGCATCTTCGTACCTTTGGGATGTAAGGGTGGAGCTGGTACCTGGAATAAAGAAGGGGAAGAGGACCATTAGGTACTTTCCCGCTTGCAAATGTTAATTGGACAGTCCTTACGGACTTGCCCTCCCGAGGTTTGTAGAGGTATAAACCCTCTACAGCGTGATTGTGGAGCTTAAGATCCTCCAGCAATTCACCCTCTGAGTACTCGGAGGGGACGCCATAAATGACGACCCGTTCCGTCTTGTTGAAGGTGGACATGGCCGAGTCCACCTTCATCCCACACAGTGCGGTT